TGAAATGATGCAAATATATATATATATATACTGTGTTTGGATGCATGGGATATGAATTTAGATTTGAATATTCTATTTTGAATACAAGAAAGCCTATGGACCAAATTATATTTTATTATACTTTTAAATTTTTTCTAAATCTTAATTATTTAAAATTTCATCTATTCTAAGTCTATTGTTTTATTCATGTTTTTATTATTAATACCTTTAGTATTCTTGCACCTTCTTTCATCTCTCGGTTCTATCTTTCATTAATTAAAAATATGTTAGCTCATTACTCCCAATTTTTCATTTTTGTTGTGAATATCATTTCTCTCTCCTACCTTTAAAATTTCTCACTCTATCAAAATAAATGATTTTAAATATATAAATTTTAAATGTGAGATTTTAAATCTAAAATTTAAATTTTTCAATCCAAATGTTACTTTAGGTTATTCTCTTAAAGGCATTTTTTGCATTCATACAAATTCAATCTTAAAATCTCATACTTAAGTGATCATAGCCTCTTTCATTAAGACCAACACATGTGTTAGTATAAAATTTGAATATTGTCATTGATGATGATTGGAATTTAAATGATGATGATCCACATATTATTTTAAATTAAGGAGAATCACATCTAAGGATGGCTTAAGCAAATTATCCATAGACAAGGATTAACAATAAGTCTCATTCAAAAAAAAAGTCATATTTTCATTTTAATAATAATCCACTTCGTATTAATTTTTACTTGTTAATAATTTTTGAGTGGTCCTTAAATGTAATTCTTGCTTTAAATTACAAATTGTATGAATTGATGACCTTTGTATGTCATTTATTCTTTATATCTTTAGTCAGTTGTGTGTTATTAATTAGTGTTATTATTTATTTTGTGTTGCAATTTTATTTTACATGATGCCATGGTTTCATTACAAGTTTTACAGGGGGAAAAAGGATGCGCTAACAGGTTAGTCATCAGCTCATATGTTATGTACCGGATCTGTAAAATTGAAGCTCTCAAATAAAACGAGCTTGTTAGGCTAATCCATTATGGTGCCGGTTATTTGCAATTTTTTTAAAAAGAAATTTGGATTTTTCGTTATAGAGAGAATGAGTGAAGTATCAAAAGAGGTAATTAATAATAATTAGGTTACTGATAGAATTTTTTGAATAATAAATTGTAAATATTCATTCAGATGATTGCAGACAGAAATTTTAATCCATATATATATAATAGAAAAACAACAAGCATATCTTTATGGATGACAAGTGTCATTTTCTTCAAATACTATAATTTCAAAAAGCCACATAAGATTTCATTTACAAAATTATTTTTAATTCATGAATATAATTTATTTTTATTCTTTCATTTCAATAACTTCTTAACCCATGATCTAATAATTTTCTAATCCCACAATTTCTCTTTTAGATATGGTTAATTATTTAATATTCTATCATTTTAATAACTTCCTTGCTCTACAATTTAGTTTTTTATTTTTTTAATTCATGCATATAATTAAATTTAAATATAGATAGTTATTTAGATTATTCATTCTATTAACTTCTTAACTCATAATCTAATAATTTTCTAATCCCACGATTTCTTTTTTAGATATAGTTAGCTATTCAGTATCCTATCATTCTAATAACCTACTTGCTCTACGATTTAATTTGTTATTTTTTTAATTCATGTATATAATTAAATTTAAACATAGATAGTTATTTAGATTATTCTATTATTCTAATAACTTTTTAGATTTATGATTCACGTAGAATTTGATGAGAATATATATATATATATATAATAAATAAATAAAAAATAATTTTTTAAGTTTGACACGTATGAGTTTTTTTTTAAAATATTACAGTTCTATGCTATTTACATCATTATTAATTTTTAAAAATATTTTTTCTAATTTATAAGATTACAATTTGAAAATGTAACTTTCCTCCTATTATCTCAAAATCTCAAATATAATTTTTTAACTATTTCACAATTTAAAATTTTATTTTTAAAAATTTTATCTTTGATATTCTCTCTCATGATCTCAAATATAACTTTTTGAGTATTGTCATTTTGTGAATAATTTTGAATGGGCATGATAATTTTATGAATAATAATTTAAATAATTTTTTACAAATTAAATCATATAAATAAACAAATAAAAACTGAATGATAAATGCATGAATTAATAAAATATTTATAAGTTATCCATGTCAACATTAATTTTTAAAAATAATTTTTTTACATAATACCAAATTTTTTTTATAGATGATAAAAATATTATCTTAAATTGTAGAAACCACTTCCTTTTATCTATAAATTTTCTCTCCCATGATTTTATCTATTATCATAAATTTCCAATTTCTTCACCATATAAAATATACAATTTCAGCATGCACATTAGATTTTCTATCAAATCTTCTTAAATATTACAAAAGTATTATATTTAAAATTAAATGAGTTATTTTAATTCCTATTTTCCCTCATTTCTCTCTCACTCTCCTATCATCATAACTTCCTATAATTTTTTTCTTATTTTTAGTTTTAAAATTTTAATTACACAAATATACGATCACATTTAGCAGTTTAAAGCACACGAGATTTTCTTTCAATCCTAATATCATTCAATTACTCCATTCCCTCATCAAGACAAGCAAAATCACAAAACTCTCATTATCTCTGGCTTCTCCTTTCGTCACCAATCCCCTCTCACCCCTTGTGTCATCTTTTATGATGATTTTTCGTTCATAATCAATAGTGTGATGAGGTTGTTATGTGCTTGTAGATATCAAAAGAGCAATTTAATTTTTGATATATCTCATATTCATGGTAGATACTAGGTAATTGCACATAAGTACGCATTTTGTAATTTTTTTTATTGAATTTTCCTCCATCATTCTAAATCTATCTTTCATTAGTAATAGAACTAAAAAAAAACTTATTGTGTTCTATTTTTGTGAAGTTATGATTTCATAGAATTTATTTTTTAGTTTTTGCAATATTTATTGTAAATTGTATGATGATTTGTTAATTATTTTATAATTCTATAGGTATATTAAAATTGAATAAAGAGGAAGATATATATTGACATGGTTCTTCACATCAACGCAAAGTAATTTTTTTTTCACTCTTTATATATCTTAACTTTTGGGCATCTCTTTATAAATCTTTTTTTAAAAAGCATACTCATAATACTTTACTCATAGTGATCCAAATTTCTTAATTTCAAATGATATTTTAATGATCTATGTTTAATTTTAATTTTTATTTGAATTATAAATGTCAAATGAATTAATCAAATGTTAACTTTTAAAATTATATATAATTTGTATTTGAAGATAATGACTTAACCATCAAATTTGTGTTTTGATCTTAATGATATTTTATATTATGATATCTCAATTACAAGATTTAAAAATATTGATGTTTGCATTAAAAATTAAATTTTTAATATATATTACTGTTTATTTGTTGATATTTATAAATCATAAAAATTATAGTACTTTAAAAAATTTTCTACCCTCACATGATTTAATAGAAAAGATGGAGCCATGCAATTTTTATGTTTACCATATAATCTTAATTTTTCATGGATTATATGTGAGAAAAACATTACAAACTATCTAATTATTAGATAAATCTACAAATGATAAAGAAAAAAAAATACAAAATCGCAATATCAACACAATAAAAATAGTAAAATATATTATGATTTATAAAGAAGATACTTCAACAACTGTGGAGTGTTAGACTTAATTAACTATGGTAGCTTTTCTACTATAGTGAAAACAAAACAAAGCAAAGAAGATTGATAGATGAGTTGAAGAAAAGAAACAAAAGGTATGGAGAAAGAGGCCACCATGGTTTTGGGCATTTGAGAATTCATGATGAATTCTTTAATTTTTATTTTTATAATTCTACACTCATCTTATTAATTAATATTGTAATTTATTTTATGTAAACTTTTTTCATTTGTATTGATTAACATTTTAAAATAAAATTATTTTAAGTTACAAAAATACACCGTACATTGCACGGGTACTATACTAGTTATAAATTAAAAGTTATATTTAAAATTTAAGTATTTTATTTACAATTGAAACTTCTAATTTTATAATTATTTGAATTGATATTTGTAACTTACTTTTTAACAAAAATCTTATTAGAACCGAACTGTAATTAATTTTTTCTTTAAGGACTTTATCATCATTCTGCTTTTATTGTAAACATAAAATTCTCTTTGTCTATATAACCATTTCACACGTATCTAATTATTATCATAATTATCATTATTATTGTTATTATTATTATGATTTGTACAAAATCACGTAAAACGCTGATATATATATATATATATATATTCTTCCGGTAAGTTGTATTATGAAGAGCATGTTTTGCTTACTGAGTTGTATTATGAAGCCCAGCGTATGTTTTATTTCACGAGCCATTCTGATCTGATCCCCAACAAAACTTGATCCTTATTTTTTATATATCGAAAGAACCTTCGACACGACATTCAACCCACCATGGGGCCTTTAGCAGCAATTAATATATTCCTTACGCTCCTCTTTTTTCTTCTTGGCCCCCACAGTGATTGATGAATTGTAACCCAACACTGCTACAGCTTGCAAGGGTCGTTTTAGGGAATCCAGCCCTTCGAGACTTTAAAGGGTTTCTTTTGGTTTAAATATTCCAGATTAGGGTATGCACTATGAATTAACAAAATACACAAAGTGGCTTAAAGATATTACATGGATATATGAGATAAAAATAGATCAATTTTAGTAAAGAAATCGGACAATATCATTAACGGATCTCAGGCCTCACTTCTTAACAAGATATAGTCTTTGGCGCAATAATAAATGGTGCACTGCCACTATCGTAATTTAAGAATTATAACGAGATAGTGGTCGGCTAGCCATATTGTGTTCTAAAATAAGATCAGCTTCCTGGAAAGCAATACCAACTTCACTCCATTAATCATGCACCCTCAATATATATATATATATATATATCACACAGCCTTCCTCGCTCTCTCCACAAAGCTCCTTATCCGCCTACAATACTTGACATCATTGTGATCCTCCTTCTTAATGGGTCTGTCTCAGAAATTTCCTTCCTTCAGCTGTGAACTGAGAATTATACAAGCCCAAAACGTTAAGTTCAATTCCAAGAGAAAGGGAAACTTGTTTACCAGGTTATATCTTTCCGCAGGAGAGGACAAAACAATTCAAGTGAACAGCCGAAAGATGTCTTCAAAATCTGTCCCCTTCTGGGATGAATCCTTGTGTTTAGATTGTTCGTGTACCCAAGAATTCTTTGAGACCCTGAAGCAGGAGAGCCTCGTCTTGGAGGTCCGACAGAGCAACACGGCCCTTGTTCTCGGGAAAATCCTGGGCTCACGTCTCCTTGGAAGGGCTGAGATTCCATGGAAAGCAGTTCTTGAATCGCCAAACACGGAGTTCAAACAATGGGTGAGCATGGATCTGGAGAATGGATACGGCGTCAAGCCACTTAAGTTGCAAGTGGAAATCAAGATTCAAGTGCCGTCGGCTTCAGAGACGGAGAACAAGATAAGAGGGAGGTCGATGAAGAAGTGGGACGAGTGTGGATGCAAGGAATTAGGCCATGATCATCACTATGATCATGACTTATTTGTTATAGCTGCTGCTTTAGAAGCCTTCTAGGCACATAGTTGGATTCACTAATTCATGATTAAGGGTGTGTACGGTAATTCATTGGTTCTGGTCCAAGATAATAGCTAATAATCAGTTTTGTCTGTTTTCTACGACTATTGAAACATGAATGAATTCATCACTTGTTTCAGCATAAAAGGGCTTGTAAGAGCTTTGGAAACATTTTTTATTTTTCACTCTTTTATAAACTCCGTCTCCCCTGTACGCCACATACTGACACTGCCATGGTTATATACAACGCCATAGCACAAATGTTGACACACCACAAGCAAGTTGTTTTAAAACAATATAATGGAGCAAACAACTTCTCATGTAATAAGATCAAGAGATCAAAGAATCCTATATGCCTGCTAATTTAAGAAAATATAATGTTTTTGATATGGCTTATGGAGGTCTGAATCCACGAGATAATCTCCACTCCCTCCAAAACATATCTCAATCCGTTCGAGTTTCGAGTTACAACATGAGATTTAGATTGGATATCAGAATTCTAAATTATCCATTACAATATCAAATATGACAAGCACATGCCAACTAGTTATTTTTTAAGCATGGGGTGATTCATACTATCTAATATTTTTTTTAGTTTAATATTTAGTTTGATATTGGAACACATATCAAAGAGATAAACAGAGAAACATGCGTCGTCATTTCAAAAGATGGTTAATTTGATTACATAAATGGTAAAGTATGCATTACCTAGACCGCATACTTATCGTTTGGTTTGTATTAATTTTTTGAAAAATTATAATTTCAATCCAAGAAATTTCACTCAAATTTTGAGTAAGTTTTTAAATTTATTTTATGTTAAGTATCAAATTATTCAATAGCGTTTAAGTCTTTGAGATGAAGAGGTAAAATGAACTTGAGACTGAATCAAACTTCCAAAAAAAATTGTATTAAATAAAAATCAAAATCTTGTCACAAAATATACACGTATAAAGTTTTATCGAATGATTTCATCTAGTAATCAATGTTGGCAGAATGTTTAATCAGAAGCTACAAATTTACAATCTCAAAATTCAATTCGTTTTGTTAGAAATGGCCCAGTGCATCCGAAGTCGCGAGCGAGGCCCATTCGAAGGCTGGTGTATACGACGCTACTCAGCGGCACGGTAAAAGCCTAAAAGGGTTCAGGTTTTGGAGACGGGAGGCGCAGGAGAAGAAGCCGCCGAGCGGAAACCTGGGATTATGGGAAGCGGTCAAGCCGATTGGGATGGAGGCTCGTTCACTTTGCGAATCTACCCATTGAGCTCCTCATGTCAACTTCCTTCACCAACATCACAGAGATTGCGCTCAGAGCCATCCCTTCTACTTCCAAAATGGAGATCAAGCGTGTCCTTGAATCCCTCTATAGCTCTGAGGTTGACAAAGTACGGACTTTGAACATACAGGGTAAAAAGAAGAAGCGCGATGGTTTGTTAATCACGGTGGCTAACAAACAGTCCAAGTCAAGCGTCTTTGAGGATGGCGAAACCAAGAGGCACTGGCTTGATCAGGAGGGTGGGAACTTTAAGCTCGAGAAGGCTTCCAACGATCGAAGGCCTAATCATGCTGAGGGTGTTGCCTAATTTCCCTGGAGCAGCACGAGGTCTGGTGCTGGTGGTGCTAAGCAGTGTAGGTGCTTGTGATAATTTCTTTTCGCCATTTGAGCGTGCAAAAGGAAAACATATGATGGGTTTCTTGAAGTTCATGAAATAGTAGAAAGTTCCGTCTTAGCATTAAAACATCACAAAGCAAGCAAGCTGTTATGAAATAAAAGCTAGGCATGGTTGAGAAACGAGCAGAGGGCTGTATGTACAATTCAGCAAAAATCACCAGTCATAAGCAACTCCACTACCGTATTATTCAAAGAAGAAAGAACAGTTGCTCTCCGTTTACGGAAACTGTTGATTTGCCAATGCTCGTTTTGATTATGTGTTGTCTCTATTTCCCATGAATAAAGGTGCACTCATCAATGGATTGGGGATTCCTTTCCTAATTGTTGTGGATGATGTACTGATTGATCCGCGAGAGTGGGGAAGGGATTTGGTTTGCACATGAGTATGACATGGAGGTGGATGACTAGACTAATTCCCCCATCACTCATTGGATGAACTATGCAACTGTGACTTTATCACGGTGACCGCTGTGTGGTGTCAGGGGGTGCTCATCTTCTCCACAAATGAGGCTGGCCTGGTGCAAAATTATAATTGTAGTGTGTGTGTGTGTGTGTGTGTGTTATACACATCGAACATTTAATTTGAGGATAAAATTAAGCTCTTATTTCGCTTTATGAAAAGTCAAGTAATTTCATCTAAATAAAATTATACAAAAACATATCAAAGAATGTTACAAACATCGGTCATTTTTTATCAGCATCAGTGTGTTGGGAGGATATCAGCAAAATCTTGGAAGCAATTTACTTGATAAAAGTGTGTTGGCGAGTAAACATTAACAATTAGCAAATGAATTCTTATTTTAACAAATATTCTATCTGTCTAATTCCTTATTAAATATTAAATTTCTTTATAAGTTCTTCATTGACATTCTCCCACTCCCTCCCTACATTTTTGAAATGCAAATAACTTTACCAAGCTAAGCTACATGAGTTTGCTGACTCCCAAAGCCAATTTATTCCGTTACCCGACTTTTATTGTATGGCCCGATATAATATAATGAATCAGATCAAACGTGCCAGTGGAAGCCCAGTTGTTGCCTCCACGTCAGAGTTGGTGGTTTCCGCTCTTATTTATAAACCCATCGCGCTCGAAACTGCTGGAGTCGTCGTTTTTGTGTCTCTCTCATTTCGCGCAGTGTTCCTATGAGACTTCAGATCTTAGACCTGTCTGCATTACTCAACCAATTACTGGATTCTCCTTTTCGTAACAATCTCCATTAATGGCGACGGTCTCCCTTCTCGCCAAATACAAGCTCATTTTCTTGGGTGATCAATCGGTTGTTAAAACCAGCATCATTACTCGCTTCATGTATGACAAATTTGACACCACCTACCAGGTCATTCCCGATCTTTTCTACTCGTTACTTTCTCGATTTGGTTTCATGCAGTTCAACTTCTTTTCCACTAAATTCGACAGATTCACATTGTCAGTACAAAAGGAGAGAAATAAGTTGCAAACCCCTGTTCTTCCTTTTAGCTCCATATTTATACCGTTGATATCTTCTTTTCTTTCCATGTTATCAGATATTACATTTCTGAGGTATGATACAATTATGCATACCTCTATTCGGATTTACGTGGATCAATCTGATGTATATCAAAAATTAAATGCATTTACATTGGGAAAGGGAAAAAAAACTAGTTATGTTTTTTGTTATGGTTACCGAGATAGTTCTGATGATTTAGAGTATTAGAGTATGAGTAGATGGATTAATGGATATTAAATAACTTTGCTCTTTGGGTGTCAAATTATCTTCCTTTAAGTTTTCTCCTTAAATTTTGTTCATTCTTTTTTGCAGCGAGTTTCTTGACAGATTTTTGTTCATCTGAATTTTAGGCTACCATGGGAATTGACTTTTTGTGAAAAACAATGTACCTTGAAGATCGAACAGTTCGTTTACAGCTTTGGTAGGCTGTATTCCTCTTCAAGTTATATAAATTAATAATTAATTTATATAAAAGCTATAAAGAATTTCCATCACTGGCATTGAATTCATAGAATCAATGCACTTGATGTAGAAGATATCACTAGAAAGAATATAAAAAGCGAATGGATTAGGGAATAGGAAGTGGAAAACTAAAATTAGGAGCAGTGAGTTATAGGTTTCTCCTTAGGAGGTCTTTTGTTATACTGAAGTTTGTACAGGAGCTTAGCAAAGTACTTGGTTTGTTTAAAGTGCTATAGGATTTTCATTTTTTATTTTCTCATTATTCACTTCAGTTCAAAAAGACTTTTAATCATTCTACTTCATAGTAATACCTTGCTCCCTTTGCTAACATTATCAAGAGCAATAGGCTGTCTAGTCCCTGATTTGATCTTAATATCTAGTGGCACCCTCAGTATATTCTTGTGTGCGTGGCGTGGGCATTTGTTTTTAATTTATCTGTTCTTTTATGTTTTCTCAATCTATTGTATATTAACCTCGCAGGGATACTGCAGGGCAAGAGAGATTCAGAAGTCTCATTCCAAGCTACATAAGAGATTCTTCTGTTGCAGTTCTTGTATTTGATGCATCTAGTGAGTAGTGACTTTTAATGCCAATACTCTCATCTAATGAAATTTTTTATGATTTTTTGAAAGAGGATTATGGAGTTATGGATTAATACACATGCTTTTCAATATTTGTTCTCTTATGTTTTGTTTCTATTTAATTTTCCAGTCTGTTTGCATGAGCATAAGGATTTGCCTTACAGTTAATTTTTTAGTGGTTTCGAGATTGAAAATCTGTTAAAACCAATTATATGTGTTTAAATTTCTTATAAAGCTGTTTTGATACAGACAGGCAATCATTTCTGAACACTAACAAGTAGATTGAGGAGGTACGTACGGAACGTGGCGGTGATGTCATCATTGTCTTAGTGGGGAACAAAACTGATCTTGTTGATAAGAGGTGAGCAATACGAATCAGTTGCGCAGAAGTTGATTCTTGATTTTCTTAATTCTTTTTATAAATGGATATGCTTTATCATTAAAGTATGTTGAGAGTCGTGATTTGTGTCCATTAGCAGAAAGGAATTCGCCATCTCTACTTGATGCTTGGCTACTAGATTGGTTAACCCTGTTAAAAATGGTTAATTATAATCATTTTAATAATGAAAGGAATAAATAGCTCTTTATATTCATATGGGCGATCAATTTGCCATAGTTGGAGTTATTATATCATCGTTTAAATTCACGTATACTAGAAGCCGTTCGATATTACTCTTTAACTATCAAAATATGATTGACCGGATAGTATTAAGAATTTAGAATATGACATTTTATTATATCAATAGTTACAAATCGTTAATATGTAGTTAGCTTTAATTACCAGGTAGGATGCACTTATGTTTTTGGTTCTAGTATTTTTTTTGTTTTACTAGGCAAAATTTTATGATAATGCTTGAAATATACTTAAACAGGCAAGTTTCTGTGGAGGAAGGAGATGCCAGGTCTCGTGAGTTTGGGGTCTTGTTTATGGAAACCAGAGCAAAAGCAGGCTTCAATATCAAGGTGAATTTTAATGAATTCTCTATTTGATCTCCATATTTTGGTTTATCAGAACATGCTTCTGAAGTCTGACGCCTATGATCTAATTATATTAGTCTACAAAGCCTGGAATGATCCTAAGCTGCTTTTATAGATAATATATCGTATCTAGGAAGATTAAATTCATGGTCAACTATCTTGTCATGTTCATCATATTTCACATTTTTGTTCTGGTTTAGGTTCCTCACGTCTATAATGATTTCTGCAAATACAAAATTGCAGCCTCTATTTCGTAAGATTGCTGTTGCGTTGCCAGGGATGGAAACTCTTTCCTCCACAAAACAAGAAGATATGGTTGATGTGAACCTGAAACCCACTGGTAATTCATCTCAGACAGAGCGGCAAGGAGGCGGTTGCGCATGCTAAGGAAATAATCTTTCCAACAGAGTCTATTGTCCCAAAAGAGGAAAAAAGAAAAGAAAGAAAATCTAATAGATTCAGATAGATGTCTTTTCGGTGAAAAAATTTCAGGTTTGGCTACTTTGATAGAACGATGTGATTGCAGAAAATCAGCCCATTCATGCTAATGCTCCTTGCAGTTACTTGGTGAGGGAAACAAATAGCAGTGATGATCTTGTTTTGAATCGTGATGTAAGATAAGAGCTTGTTAGTCATTTAGGTCCTGCCCCCTGTCTCTCTCTCTCTCTCTCTCTCTCTCTCTCTCTCTCTGTGTAATTATACAATTAGACCCTCGATGTAAGAACACCGCAATAAAGACCTTAAATACTGAAATTCTTATGTGGATTAGATGCTAAGAGAAAGCTTCAAATCTTGGTAGGATTATAAGACGCAGGATTTTGTCTACTGATGATAGTGGCAGCGGCTAGCGGGTAAGCGCCTCAAGTTAAATGTGGTCTCGGCTATTGTTTTTGTCATACATGAAATGGGCCTCTTCAATTTAGAAAATTAGATGTTTTGTAGTTAGACAATTTAGTTAAACAGGGAGAATTGATGAAAAAGACCTTAAAAGACATTATGCTCGAGAATTAAAGCAAATTGAAAAATCAAGCTGAATATTTTATTCATTAAATAATTTGAACAAATGATTAAAATGCACCTGTGTTAATTAAAAAAAAAAGTCATAAAATCCAACCATTGGAGTTCCGACAGGTGATAGTGCATTAGCTAGAGTTGGCGAAGGGTTGTTGGAAAAAGTCAATCCTCCTTAATTATGTGTAATTACCAAAGATTATATGTAAACTTAACAACTAGTGGATGCAAGGATTTTGGATTGAGATATGAGGATTTTGGCTTGAGTGCAAGTGGTCTCATTTAAGTGTAAAGGGTTTGGCTTAGGTGTAGAAGCTCTAGCTTGGGGTGTAAGGGTTATGACTTTAGTGAAAGTGAAATAGCTTGGGGTGTAAGGGTTTTGACTTAAATAC